CCAATATCGTGCATCCCTAATTAGTACATGACAAATTAATCAGCGTAATACATTTTCTTAATATATATTTGTATTAATAATTAATAATCAGTTATTCTTCTAAACATTTTCTATATTTATCTTTTGTTTGTCATTCATTACATTCATTGCGTCTTCTGTTATAAACATTCTTAACACCACATTAAACAGTACACATATTTTAAAAGCATTTTTAAAGTGATTTCTGTCTTTATAATATTATATAATCTTGAACAGTAATATGAACAATTAACATGTTTTTTTAGCATTTTTGAAAGCTACTTTTGCCTTAATAATATTATACATAATATTCAACAGTAATATTAACAATAAACATATTTATATTCATATATATAAACATCAATATTTGCTACATCCGTGCTCTCATCCAGCTGCAGAGCGAAATATTCACTCGCTCCAAAAGCTGAGCAGATACTCGGTTTCACTCTCAGTAGCGGCAGCTCGATTCTGATTGGCTTGAAGGCGGTCGTGTGATTTAAAAACAAAAAAATTAAATATATTAAAAGATTGGCATCAAAGGACACATAGATTGATATATATGCAGTTATTAATAACATCTATAAAAAATGTAACTTTAAAAAAAGATTCCCCTTTCCCTCAACCTTTGCCTGACCCCCCCGGCGCCCCCTGGCGGCCCCCCGGGGGGTCAGGGCCCTCACTTTGAAAAACACTGAACTAGCAGACCATTAAACACCTAAACAATAGGTATTTTAAAAGTTGTGTCTCTTTTACTCATGTAAATGTTAATCCGTCATTCCCTAACCCAACTTTTCCGATGTTCAGGGAAACCGTTTGTTTACTCTTGTATTTTGAAAAATATTTGGAAGATAACACAAAGTAAGGATAAGACCTTAGAAGACCGTAACAAGTTTGAGTGACTTTTAATCATCTAAATGTTAATCCTTCATACTAGGACCCAACTGATACTTTTAAGACTTTGGCTTAGAAAAATAGTCTTAGTTTACTCCCAGATTCAGAGCTGGAAAGACCAGTTGATGGAAAGAAAACCAATCCAACAGTTTTGGAAAATAGTTTTTTAATGCAAAAATGCCTAATTAATTTCTCAACATATTAATTGAAGAAACGTGTTTTATTTCTAGAAAATAAAGGTCGACAAACGTCTCCAACTATTTTAATATTTTCTTTATCGTTAAAGTATTTTTTGTTGTTGTAGTCTTTAATGTCATATTAAAGTGAGTATCTTTGAGACTTTAAAGACTTCACCTTTACTCACCATGTTCTGATATTTCTAGTACAAACCATTTATCGTCAAACAGATTAATTCCTAATGAATATAATTATTAGTTGATCCCCTATTTCACAAACAAGTCATAGTCTAAAAGAGTTGCTTTATTTTGTTTAGGTTTTAGGTTTTTAACAATTACTCAATTGAAAGCTCTCGCCACCTCCTTCAATAAATACAACTCATGTTTAAGGTGAAAAAGCTGAAGAGGAAACCAATCATTTGGACATGAATTTTAAAACATCTCAAGCTTCCTCCACATGACAAACATTCCTCCTCCTCCTCTCCATCCTCATCACCTCCTCCCCCTTTCTCCCCCATCACCAACACCCCTTTAAATTACCATAATAAAAGCCTTAATCTCTCCACACACACACACACACACACACTCACACTCACACTCTCTCTTACTCTTCACAGAAGGCATCCACACAAACACAGACCTGGGGGGTATACTATGAAGCAGGATTTTCGCTTAGCGGCTAACTTCAGGGAAAACTCCGGCTTTCCGGTCCTACGACGCTGGTTCTCTTTTTAGCAGGCTAGATCTCCATGGTAACTGATGCTGAGCGGCTAACCTGGTCGGGACCAGGTTAGGTTGCAGGCTAAGAGCTCAACTCAGTGAAAGCACTGCCTGCTGACCAATCAGAGCTCAGTGTGCGGAGTTTAAAGCGATCAAGTCATATTACAGGAGAAAGGAAATACAGAAAAGCTGCCGTTGCAGGAAAGACGGCCGGCAAAAATCAGCGACTGTGTGAACGTGAACATGAATAGAATATCACCTCCATCTTCAGAGCAATCTGACTATTATAACATTAGCGTTAAGAAAGCTTACTTAAATATCTGCCACAACATAAGTAACCGGATCAGAGTCACATTAAGTACAGTCCATATCACTTCATAATGTATCATCTCCTGATCTGAGTCAGCTGAGCCGTATCTGGCCGTGCAACACTCACAGCGTCACAGACTGGATGCAGAAGCATTATTTGAAGCAACACATTAAGTTGACAAAACACTCGAGACAAATTTAATGAAAGTCAGATCGTGTTTTAGACGGGCAGTGATATCATAAACCTGTTAATGTACGCATTCAAACACTTGTTCTGTTCCCAGCTGTATTCACCTTGCAGGTGCAGCTCTGTGGCTTTGATCCTGGATCAAGTGTTTAAGACATGGATGTTTAAAGTTTAACTTCTTCATTTTTGACTAATATTATAGTTGACTTTTCATTCAGGAAGTATGACGCTGCGCTGTCAGTGCGCTTCTCCATGTTTGTGATTGGTCGAATGCTCCAGATACCACCCCTCTCATGTGAACGCGCACCTAACTAGGTAGGACACGGCTGGCTTGAGTTAACGAGTTGATAACCCGCGTCGTAGTACAGTTTAGCGAGAGCGCGTATGTTTTGGATTAGGCCAACCGGCTAACTCAAACATATCCAGGTTAGGTTGAACCAGCTTCGTAGTACAGGCCTCTGGCTGACATCATCGGAAAACACGGCAATATACTGCATAACACACATATATACACACACACACATATATACACACACACACACACTTTTCCTATTATGGGGTGTGTTTGATTGGATTCCCAGTGGAGAAGTTACTTAACAGCCATGCTTACCCACCTCTCTCTCTGTGTGTGTGTGTGTGTGTGTGTGTGTGTGTGTGTGTGTGTGTGTGTGTGTGTGTGTGTGTGTGTGTGTGTGTGTGTGTGTGTGTGTGTGTGTGTGTGTGTGTGTGTGTGTGTGTGTGTGTGTGTGTGTGTGTTACCTAAAACATCTAAACTCCACCTAATTACAGAGAGTATTGAAAACTAGATGCTTGATGTCACATACACATTTGCTCAATAATAATTAATAATAACGGGTGGCGCAGTGGTCTGTGCGTTTGGTCATCAGATCAGGGGCGTTGGGGAACTCCAGTGAAACCCGCTCCCGCCCCACTGCGTCAGGCCGTTGTGTCCTTGGAGACACTTCACCCGAATGTGCTCCTGTGGGTATTGTCCACAGTAGAGGACCATTACATGTATGATCTGTATGTGTAATGTGTATTTGTAAAGCGCTTTGAGAGTCTTTGATAAAGCGCTATAATAAATATAAGGATTATTTGGTTTTGCGTACCATGAGCGGGACAAATAAAAATGAAATATGTCTGCCCTAGATTAGCATCAGTCGCTCTGCCTCTCATCAGTTAAATTCAATTCTACTTTTTTGTCATACAAGCAAATGAACTAGTATTTAACCAGCGGTGTGTGTACTAATATACTAATGTCATTTACAGCAAGCACTACGGCATAAATGATAACACTAATGGTATACAGTTGTTTCAATGCGTTTAGAAAGAGCGTGATTAATTCATAATTGAACTCCTCAGTTTGACCTGTAACTTTTATTTTTGCGAGTCTGTACATCCGTCTTCTCCAACCTTTGCTCCTCCCGTGATCTATCTTTACCTCCCCATCTGCTCTCACACACACTCTCACACACTCACCACACACGCGTCAAAGCGTCAGCGCGTCACCACAGCAGATGGCGTCGCTTCCTGCTTCAGCACGCCGCTATGAACTCTGGGGGATTGAGTCCCATGGGAGCAGAGGGCGCGTGTGTGAGAGATAGAGAGGCAGGCAGAGTGTGTGTGAATTACTGTGTGTATCTTGTTTTTGTGTTCCTGTGATGAGCCCCGCGGCCCCATGGGAAATGGAGTCTTCATTATTAGTCATTAGCACGTTGACAGCTGTGGGTGTTATTAGCGCTACGTGGCTATCGCTAGGTTAGATCAGCTCGACCAATCAAAACTCAGCAAGCTTTGACGTGAAAGTGAGCTTTTTGTGCAGCTTCATAAGTGGTTTGTTTAGTGTCAGTTATTGTAGTTTTATTACTCAATTACTTTTATTTAATTAGAGGAAAGTCCATATTTAGGCCTCTTATAAATGTCCTTTTTGAGCAGATGAACGCATGCATTTTTTATTTGATTTATAAAAATATGTGCTGTCAGTCTGATAAACATTGATTTTTTTCCGGCGTGGCTTGGTGCTTTGAGTCAGACCGATGTAATCAGCTGTTAGTGATGCAGCCTCCTCAGGGAGTTGCAGTTTGTAGGACCCATTAAGACTACAGATGGAAGGGATCTAAGCACTTCAGATGTAATGTTCAAGATTCAAGGCTTTCATTGTAATTTCTTCGTAGCTACAGCGTAGTTATGTCAATGGAAAGCTGAGGTCACAGGCTCCTCCCACAGAGCAACACACAGATCAAATGGTGCAAGTAAATATAATATAGTAGAAATAGTGCAGAATAGTCTACAAGTAATTGGAATATTGATATGTTGCAAACAGATGAATGTTCTTTCAGAAGTTCAGGTGTTTTTATTTAGCTACTCCCTACCTTATCCTATTGTTGTTGTTATTTATGTCAACGCTTACCTGTCCTATCCTGTGTGTATTTCCCTAATAAACTGATTATCTTATTTTATTGCATCTTACCTTAATTCTCTTCAATTCAACCTGAATTGACGGATTATTTTACGTATTTCTGGTTTAATAGTCGATATTGTGTTTAATTTTGTTTTTATTATTTAGCTACTTATCCTATTGTTGTTGTTATTGTTATTTATGGGAATGCTTACCTGTGTGAAGCCTGAATTTCCCTAATGAAGGTGTATCTTATTTAATTTGATCTAATCTTATACTTCCTTAATTATCTTCAATTCAACCTGAAAATGCACAGATTTTTGTATTTCTGGTGCGACGGGTTCAAAGTTTAATTTCAAATATCACATATGAATTTAGATGAATAGACTCCAGTAATGTGGATTTAAAGACTTAAGTAAGAGATAATACACACTTTGACTGTAATGCAGCCTTTAAAGCCTTGCCGTCACACGTTGGGTGCATGTGAGGGAATGGATGTTGAACTCTCTTGTCTCCCTCAGAGCCTCCTGTGGTGCAGCAGCTGAAGAGAACAGTTAGATTCTTCCAGGACTACAGACAGGTGAGACGGACGAACACATTCTGATTTACACTCATTTCCACCTTAAAAAAGGTGAATTAATTGGATTGAAATATCCGGTATAACTTCTTATGTTCAAACAAGTACGTTTTATTTTATATTCTAAATGGAAACAACAACATTCATTTATTGCAAAATTATTTCTAAAAACTGCTAGTGTCAAATTAAAACAACACATTCAATTTGAAGTGTTTTTAATAATAAACATTACATTTGTATTGTTTTAATACAAGTTAATAATGTTTTAATAATAATACAATCAATTAAAACGTTATTTAATAGTAATAATAATGCATTTAATTTGAAATACATTAAAACATTTTAATTGTTTTCTACGGAAGAGGATTAGGGCCACATAAAACATTTTTTTGAGGATTTGAAAAAAATATTATTATTTTTTGTTCTGACTTTAATCTCAGAACAAAAAATAATAATATTTTTTCAAATCCTCACAAAAAAATGTTTTATGTGGCCCTAATCCTCTTCCGTAGTTTCATAGTATATACAAAAAATGATAATATTATAACAATAATAAAAAACATTTTTTTAAAAAAAACTTTAATAATTAAATCAAGTTTCCTCACAGGGATAACAAATGCTCATGATTTAAGTGTGTGTGTGTGTGTGTGTGTGTGTGTGTGTGTGTGTGTGTGTGTGTGTGTGTGTGTGTGTGTGTGTGTGTGTGTGTGTGTGTGTGTGTGTGTGTGTGTGTGTGTGTGTGTGTGTGTGTGTGTGTGTGTGTGTGTGTGTGTGTGTGTGTGTGTGTGTGTGTGTGTGTGTGTGTGTGTGTGTGTGTGTGTGTGTGTGTGTGTGTGTGTGTGTGTGTGTGTGTGTGTGTGTGTGTGTGTGTGTGTGTGTGTGTGTGTGTGTGTCAGATGATCATCGAGCCCACGAGCCCGAAGCTTCTCCCCGACCCTCTGAAGGAGCCGTACTACCAGCCTCCGTACACTTTAGTGCTGGAGCTGACCGACGTGCTGCTGCACCCCGAGTGGTCGGTACGTAACAACAACAACAAACACACAACATGTTAATATATAGAGTGGTCACAACAAACAACCAGACGTCAACATAAACACATACACAACATGTTAAGTGGTCGGTACGTAACAACAACAAACAAACAACCAGACGTCAACATAAACACATACACAACATATGACTATATAAAGTGGTCGGTACATCGACAAACACACTCGTGTGTGTGTGTGTGTGTGTCTAAAATATAGATTAATCCAGAATTAAACTAATAGTGAGATTCAACTTTCCTCAGTTGGCAAAAGGTAAAGGATGTAGTCCGCTAAACGTTTCATATCTCGTGACACACTTCAGAGGACGGGAGGAGCGCAGGTGAAGTGAGCGGTTAGTGGTTATTGGGACAGGTGGAGGGTATGAAGCGTGTCCCCCCACCTGTGCACACACACTCCACTTACCTGACAGGTGTGCTGCAGCTGTAACTCGACTCCTGCCGCCTGTTAAACAGATACACACACACACACACACAGAAGTCACTTCACCTGCCCCTCTACTTGAACCTTTCTTCCTGTTACTTAAACACACACACACACACACATACACACACACACACACACACACACACTTATCTGTGATCATTAGCTACTATCTTGTACAAACACACTCTGTTCGTCCCCCTTCCTTACAGCCTGGTATTTGCAAACAACCACTCTTCTTGTCCCCTTTTGACCACACACACACACACACCACACACACACACACACACACACACACACACACACACACACACACACACACACACACACACACACACACACACACACACACACACACACACACACACACTTACACACACACACTTACACACACTTACACACACTTACACACACACACACACACACACACACACACACACACACACACACACACACTTACACACACACACACACTTACACACACACACACACACACACACACACTTACACACTTACACACACACACTTACACACACACACTTACACACTTACACACACACACTTACACTTACACACACTTACACACACTTACACACACTTACACACACACACTTACACACACTTACACACACACACTTACACACACTTACACACACACACACACACACACACACACACCACACACCACAGACACACACACACACACACAGCACACACACCACACACACACCACAGACACACACACACACAGCACACACACCACACACACACCACAGACACACACACACA